AAGAACATGTACATCGACATGTGTGTATTTAGGAAATGAATTTTAGTATAAAATCCGCTATAATCGAAGAATTATTTTTCTTCAATGCAAGAACAATTTATCTATGTCAACTTGACCATTGTCGCAAGACATTACTCAATCTCATAATGGTTACATATACCTAAGGACTGTTAAGTCAAACAGTGGCTATCCTACATATCACCCGTCGCCATCCACTGAGCACAGTTATGTTTATTGTTAACATATAGGTGATATATTGATGTAACTACGCGTTTTATATAGTTGATCTAACAAGTCAGTCACCAAGAAAATATTACTTCCAGCGCCAAGTAGTGTTCATACTGACTGGCCGCATTATTTTCATCAATCATCTCAGTATACTATGTCTCTCTAGAGATTTATGGAACTAACCAAAAAATGCATCTGAACCCGGCCTGCCCCCCATACCACCAGTCGCACAGTATTCCCTGCGGACTATAATTCCTTCCATGAGTCTCGAGCAGCGCTAAACGAAGGACACAGCGTCGCTGGCCCCCATCTGCGCCCATAGTTCAGCCGGCCAAATACTTCGCATCAACTACTTTCCTAATTAGGATTGCAATTGTATGTCGCGAAAATTCTGCTGCGCTCGCCTCCTCTTTCCCTCCCTCAACCGACCCACGTTTGCTCCTGCTTCACCCGCAAGAACAAACAGCTAATACCGGGACTCATGCTCCTGGCATGAACGCTCGCAACCATAGACACCGTGGTACAACACCTCGTATACGTGTATCTATGAGATCACTGCGCTGGTTTAAAGATTATATTATATCAGCATAAAAGTCTCTATTTGATTATATTATTATATTATTATTTATTATTAATATTATAATCATATTAGTTATGGTGAAAATAACAAGAGATGAGATGATTTATTATGAGCTATCACCACGCGACATGCACGCACGAATTACCATCAAAGCGACATTTTATAACATGACGACGTCTACACCGCGAAGGCGATGCTACGAACGTGGCGCAAGCGAAATTGTTAAGTGCCGATTCAGATGCAACTGATTATAATAATACAACGGATTTCAAATTTTTAATTAGGAGCAGCCACACCTGCCATAAGAAACGTACCAAGTCAACCAGCTGATTGTAAATTTGTTTTTGCACGCACACGGGTCACACACACACTGGGTGCCACACGAACATCTGCACACACCCACGCAGCGACCGCTCCACAGACCCACACACACACACACACACACACACACAACACACTTTTACACAGCACAACAACACACCACGTACAGCACACATATAGATGAGTACACATGCAGACGGGTAGGAGATACGGGGCACCCACACACACACACAGGAGCGCATATGACAATACACGACAGCACAGCCAGGACCAGCACACACACGGCGGCGGCAGCACCACAGGCGGCGCCCGGGGTGCCATACCACAGACACACACACAACCACATTACACAGCAAACATACACACAGCATCACATATATATAATATATAGTATATGGATAGTGAAGTAAAATCAACGCGCGAACGTCCCGGATGTAATAAAATGCAATATTCAAATAATAGGTTAAGAAGTTTTAAGGTAAATAGTAATTATCGAGCTTTCGAGCTGCACCTCATATTGTATTAGCTATGCTATTGCTAATGATATATATATATATATAGTTATAATATATATAGATGTATGTCGGAGGCGGTTCCCTGCGCAGATATCATGCACGTCACACTAGACGCCTAAACAGAGAGAGGGGAGAATGCTCTAAAAGAATACAGAGCAGAGACGAGATGAGACGCAGAGAGACGAGAGAAGAAGAGGGAGAGAGAGAGAGAGAGAGAGAGAAAGAGAGAAAGAAAGAGTGCGCGCATGCAAACATCCTCCGGCGATCAAAAGCGCGATCCAATAAAATTAAGCGGCCAGAGGAGTCCGTTTTAACGATGCAGCTTCTCAGTAACGTCCGTACAAAGAAAATGGCCGCGCCGCATCATCGCTGTAACCGAGGTGCACTTGCCGTTCGCACGTTGTGCCACAAGGAGGCGATCCGCCAGCCAACGGCGCAAGTAAAAACGCAGATGGGCGAGTCGCGCGGCTTATAATCCGGCTGCGATCCCTCGCGTGTGCAGATGAAGCCGTACTCTTAGGGCTTTCTCTTCTTCATTCTCCTGTTTTTGTCCAAGATCTGTCGCAATCCACGTACGACATACAGCCCATTCGTGGCACATCGCTCATCCGCGTGGTAGGACATTGCCCATAGGGCCTCTGGCTGCAGCTGCTCTGGTTTCGCAGTTCTATCCCGTAAACGTTGCCCATCGAGATCACGAAATTATTCGGATGATTTCTACATGACTTTTACGGAACTCAGCTTAAAAAAAAAAAAACGCGATCTCGAACTGAGCGACCGAGTTGCCGAGAACGGTCCGGCGTTTCTCGCGCTTGCGTGTACCCTAACCGCGTAAGGTCAGCGCAACCACGTCGCT